GAGACTCAACAACTCTTAATGTATAAAAATATATTATATATTGACATTAATACATTCTGGCACCAATAGTATGCAAATAATATGCAATATTGGGCTCAATGAATTTGTATTATGAGATGAACTATTAAACAGAATTGTGTAATTGTGCAATTAATTTCATACCTTCAATTGTATTACAAGTACGGATTATGAAAAATTGAAATGGGAAGTTGATAGAAAAATATTTCTATTATACTATATATTTAAAGGACCTACTTATTGTTTATTATTTAAGATAACATTATGATTTCAACAGTCTAGTTATAAATTAATATTTATATTTATAAAATTTTACATTTATCATTTAAATTCTTCAACCGAATCTGTATTTATTTCTTTCTTAGTTGTATTTTGGATACAAATCAATTTACTTATATAAGTCTTCATACTTTGTATGCATATCACATATTAATTTAAGAGACACACACATAATTACAGTATTAATAGTTAATGAAAAATCGCGTGTCACGTGCAACGCACGTACAACCACTAGTATATATTAGAGAAAAGGAAATTTTTAACCACAAGTCTTATGGGAGATCAAATATCTCAAACTAAATTTTTTTATTTTTTTATTTTAAATAATTAAAAAAATCTTCTATTGATTAGCTCTCATTCAAGCAATAATAATAATAATAATAATAATAATAATAATAATATCCCTTGGTTTATAACTTTCAAATGGAAAGTATATCAAATATATAAAACAAAAAATGAAAAGTATATTGATCTAGGAAAATGTTTGGTAACTCAAAATTTTGTGGCCAAAATGGCTCAAATCTGTCAAAACGACGTCGTTTTACACTCATTTACACTCAAAACGACGTCGTTTTGAGTGATTTGAGCCATTTGAGTCACAAAATTTTGAGCTACCTAGCATTGTTGATCAATCTATTTCAAAATTCAAATTTGAGGGGTACTAAATATGGAAAATAATTTATTAATTTAAATTTAAAATTAAAATTATCTATCCCATGATTTATAAGTTTTAATTTTAAGTAAATTAAAATTGCTTATGAAATTATTATTCATATTAAATGAAAAGGGTAAAAATGGAATAAAATTTATAGAATTAAATTTTGTGAGAGTTGTCCATAATAATAGTAATATTAAAAGCAAAATAGACTTAATGTTAATTTTTCCCTATTTTGTTCTATAGTTTTAATGGGACTCAATGAGTCAAACTTTCATTTTTAGCTTGTTTCTATATATTTGGCTTTTGAATTTTGTTTTGGCCTTCCAAATGTGCATCTATATCTATGGTCAGTTATAAACTTGTTCATATGTGATGCATTGGAGAAAAAGTTTGGTGAATGCAAATCACAAAAAATATATTTGGCATATTTATTTTTCATATAATTTGCTCAAGACATTCAATCTCGACCATTCAATTATGAACCTACCTCATGAATTTGTTTTAACTTGTCAATTAGATATCACTTTGAAGGCCTTCGTGAAATAGAATTTAAACACAGTTTTTATATATAGCTAATGCTTGCATACCACTTATAAGGTCCATATAGCCTAACAAGGTCATGAGAAGACTAACCATATAGCTTGTTGCAGATTACAAGAAACAACGGGAAGAAAAAAGTAAAAATAAAAATGTATACAAAATAATTTACTTATGGTTAAAGATTTAAGGGTTGTTTAGGATGATCTAAATAAGTATACTTTTTGACTTTTTATGAAATATGGGTTGAGTTTGGGTTGGGTTTGAAATGATGACTTAAATAAGATGATGACTTAAATAAGATGATGTGACTTAAATAAGATGATGACTTTTTGACTTTTTTCAAACATGCCGAACCAAGCCTTACTCATACTCCATGTAACCGATAAGGATTTATTTGATTTGTCATTGAAAATATAAGGCATACAATTATTAAATAATTGTTACCTAGAAGCTATTTTTATGCCGATCGATGTTTTATGTTTGTTTAAAGATCAACATCAAGTCATTCATCTCAGAAAATAATTGTTACCTAGAAGCTATTTTTATGCCGATCGATGTTTTATGTTTGTTTAAAGATCAACATCAAGTCATTCATCTCAGAAGCTTTCATCACGGGCTCAAAACTTAGATATTACCTTGATGAGATCATTAGATCGATTTATTTTAGAAAGTATAAAGATTGTTGCTTATCAATTTTTTAAAAAAAGTTTTTTAATGTTTGTCTTTTTTTATTTTTCGTTTAACATGGAAGATATGTTAATGATTTCATTCGTACCCGCTCTTTTCAATTTTTATTAATGATTTTATCCATAACACTTGTAGGGTTAGAAATTTGAAGCTTATACATTAGAATGCTTCCACATCGAGTGCGCTTCTTAAATTTCTGATAATTAATATATGATGTACTTTTTTCTAATTTTAGCTTTGGAGTGGGTGTTCTTCGTGAAAGTGTTGTTGATGCATGTTATGAAGGAGTACGACACTAATCTTCCTTCTGTTTTTGAATCTCTTAATTCTAGTTCATTGATAGTAATGATTAGTGTTGCATCTATTGGCTTCCTACTAGGACAACAAATGAGCTGAGTCGAGCTGAGTTTTAATATGTTTGGGCTTGTTTATTAAGATTTTAATGAGCTCGAGATCGAGCCAGAGTTCAATAAAAATTTAACGAATCGAGCTCGAGTCGAGTTGGCTTAGGTTAGGTTTGACTTGAGCTTGAGCCTATTCATAAACCTTAATAAGCCAAAAAAATTATAAATTTATATTTACGTTTGAGATTAAAGTTACAAGTAAAATTTTGATTATACAATTATATATACAATATATATATATATATATAAACATATTTAAAGAAAAAAGTCAATATCTTACTAAAATAATAATATCTACTACTAATATTATATAAATGTATTATCTATAATTAACTATTATTTACATTTATATTTGAGAGGAGAGATTTGCACCGTTAGTACGGCCGAGCTAAGACGGCACGAATCTGTTTTGCTCGGTCTTAAAGACCGGCTGTCCGGCGCGAAACCAAGCCTGGCCGAGCTACGACTCGCGAATATCCAGCACTGCACCCAGCCAATTGGCGAGACCGGGCTATGGATAACTCGGGCTAAACTGAGGACAAGCGAGGCTGGGTACATCTCTGACCGGTGAGCCGAGATGGGCAGAGTCCAGAGAACCTCGGATGAAGGTAAACCGGACGGAGGCCGACATGCCTCACAACCGGTCAACTCCAGCCCGGTCCATGGGTTTCCCCCCCGCCGCCCCTTTGACAAGGGGCAGTCCGGTGGGGCATAGCGCGGTTGAGCGCCTGTAGCGATAATTCTTCTTGGGAAATAGGCTGGTCGTGGTATTGTGGTCAGGTGTGCCACCTGGGCCAATGGCACGAAGGAAGGGACATCTGCTCCACATACGCCTCAATACCGTTAGACAGTTCTGCATGTACTGTTGAGAGGACTAAGCCTTTACACGTGTAAGGTGGTGAGAGGCGAGTACTGCCACCTGTCCAGGGAAGGACAACAGAGGTAGTGCGCGCATGATCTTGAGGCTGCATGGCCAACCTTGAAATAAGGAGGAAGGCGAACGTAAGAGGTATGCAACTTCTTTCTGAAAGAGAACACTCTCTCTCTCTCTCCGTCTTCTTCCTCTTCCTCAAGTGAATTGACTTGATCGTCGGAGGGTCTATCCGGCACACCACCGCCGGGCAGCTCACCGTTTCTGTATTGCCAGGAAGACGCCGTCAAGAGAAGCTCAGAGTACAAGGAGTACGGAAAGCAGAGGATATTTCGCCCCCGTACAATTGGCGCCGTCTGTGGGAAGTTTTTTGATACTCAACCCTTGTTCTTAGAGCTTCTTCGACCATTTCCACGGCCAACAACGGCGAAGCCCCTCTGTCCGTCGTAGATGGCGTCACCCCTGAGTACGTCCGCTTGAGAGAAGGTCCTCTGAATATTCCAGCCATGGCAGGCCTAGAAACTCCTTCGCGGAGTGCGCGAGACAAACGCGGAAGGAGTGCCGATCGCTCGCAGAGTCCTGGGGGCCGCAGACACCGGGGGGAGTCCCATGCATAGCGCCTGGAGCACAAACTCAAGGACCAAGACGCCGTCATTCGCAAGATGGCGGCGGAGATGGAGCTGCTGAAACGCCAGATCAAAGGGAAGGGTGTTGCTGGAGAGGGCAACCTCAGTGAGCGCACCCCGTCCCCTCGTTGGAGCAGTCGCCGCCAAGGGAGGACCCACTCTCTCTCCATCACCAGGAACTATGGGGTTGGGGGCTCTAACTAGGGGGAGAGCGGGTCCCTCTCTCGCGACAACACATACCGCCCCTCACGCCCGACTCCGACGTCGGGATCCTCTTTCTCCACACGTTCCAGGGACTTTAGGGATGTATTGGAAGAGAGGGCGCGCTGTCGGGAGGCTCGAAGGGTGCCGGCATTGCAGAGGTTAAGCACCCCAGTGCGTTGCAGTGAGGAAGTGTCGATGCCACCCCCCAGAGTGATGGCCCCTGCGCTGGAGGACAAAGAGCTGGCGCGACTTACAGCCACACCACTGTCACCAGAGATTGAGAGTACGCCACTCCCCGCCGGATTCCACCAGCCAAAGTTCACTCTGTACGACGGCAAAACGGATCCGTACATGCACGTGAGTCATTATCGGCAGGTGATGGCTGGCCACCGGCGCAATGACGCTCTGATGTGTCTCGTATTCCTAGCGAGCTTGGGAGAGCTGGGTCTAAAGTGGTTTGAAAGGCTCCCGGAGGGGAGTATAGAGGGGTGGCAACAGCTAGCAGAAGCCTTCGTCACCAGATTCAAGACCAACACTCGAACGCCGAAGGAGGTCGACCATCTCCTGGGCGTCAAGATGGAGTCTGGGTGTTCATTGAAGGCATACAATGCGAAGTACTAGGAAACTTACAACTGGCGATCACTCAGTACAAACGAGGTCTCCCAGTCGGACATAGGCTGCGAGATTCACTCACGATGCATCAACCTACAACCATGGAGTCGTTGATGCAGCAGATCAATGAGCACATTCGTGTGGAGGATGATACCGCCTCCGCGACCGAGAAGGTTAATTCGGTCGCGGCGGACAGGAGGGTCGCGGGGAAAGTTCACTCGGTTGGGCAGGAGGATAGCCGCCCAAACAACCAGTCGAAAGAACAGCGCCATGGTCCAAACCGTGATGACAGAAACAAGGGGCACCGAAACAACCGGGCATACCCTCCCCGTGATGCAGCGGAGGATGCCAAAAGAAAATTGAAGGCGCGGACTAGGATCACCACGGTGTTTAAAATCCCCATCTACCGCATTCTGAGCGAGATTCGAAGCGAACCCTTCGTCCGTTGGCCGGCCAAGTTGGGGAGTGCCCAGAGAGGCTTCAACTCAAAATATCACTGCACCTTTCATGAAGGACGGGGGCACCGAACAGACGACTGCCTGCCGCTCAAGCAACACTTAGAGGAGTTGGTAGCTGCGGGGCATCTTGACCAATACATAGATGGGGGCATCAAGGCCACGCCGGCAGACCAAGTCGAGCCAAACGGCCTGGCCGCCCTAGAGGCGCCTCCGCAAGGTGTAATCAACGTCATCCACGGAATCATTGAACCAGCCAGGGTTTGCGAGTTGAGGGGGATGATCAAGAAGGCCGAGCACATGAGGGAAGTGTTTTCTGTTCAGCCTGCTGTGAAGAAGGGAAAGACCGAAGAAAGGGGCATCCTTTCATTCTCATCCAAGGACTTGGAAAGAGTTCAGATGCTGCACAACGACGCCTTAGTAGTCACTCTTCGCGTCAAGGACTTTGATATCAAGAGAATCTTGATCGACCAGGGGAGTTCGGTCGAAATCATGTATTATGACGCGTTCAAACAGATGAAGTTAGAAGACAAGGACATGGCTCCTGCGACGTCTCCTTTGGTCGATTTCAACTCACAGCCGGAGTGGCCAATCGGAAAGATTATTTTGCCGGTCAAAGCAGGTTCAGTAGTAAAGCAAGTGGAGTTCTGGGTGCTCAAAGTTCCTTCCACCTACAACTTGATCTTAGGTAGGGGCTGGCTGCACGCCATGCAAGCAGTTGCCTCGACCTTCCACTAAGTCATGTGCTTTCCGGCGTCGAGCGGGAAAATAGAGGAAGTTTGGGAAGACCAGGTGATGGCAAAACAATGCTTCGTTGTGGTAAATGGTAGCCGAGCTGCCAAAGGGTTTGTCCAAATGATCGAGGGGCCCGAGGAAAAAGAGGTCCTTGAAGATGTGGGAAGGAAGGCCGAGGAAAAATCGGTCGAAGATTTGGTGGAAGTGCGCTTTGATGAAAATGATCCAACTAAATTCTTCCTCTTGGGATTATCTTTGTCTAACGCCGAGCGAGTGGATTATGTCAACTTCTTGGTTTCCAATTTGGAGGCCTTTGCCTGGACGCCTTACGACATGCCTGGCGTTGACCCGAGCTTCATCTGTCATCAGTTGAATGTTTTCCCCAACGCACGGCCAGTCATTCAAAGGACGCGCCGTTCAGCCCTGCACCATGTTGAAGTGGTGGCGGAAGAAGTGAAGAACTTGTTGGAAGCCGGGGCTATAGAAGAAGTGCAATACCCTCGGTGGATATCCAACACGGTAGTTGTTCCCAAGAAAAATGGCAAGTGGCGAGTCTGCGTTGACTACAAGACTGTCAACCGGGCTTGTCCTAAGGATAGCTTTCCCCTTCCTCGGATTGACCAGCTGGTGGACTTGACCGCTGGCCATCAGAGGTTTAGCTTCCTGGACGCTTATCACGGTTACCACCAGATAGCCATGTATAAACCGGACAGAGAGATTACATCGTTCACCACCCCCAGAGGATTATATTGTTACAAAGTCATGTCGTTCGGGCTAAAGAACGCCGGAGCAACCTTTCAGCGGATGGTTACTAAAATGTTCGCTCCTCTCTTGGGCCGAACAATGGAGGCCTACATCGACGATATGGTGGTAAAGAGTAAGGAGAAGTCTGAACACCTCATCGACCTAGCAGAAATGTTCGCCATACTTAAGCACCATAAGCTTCGTCTGAACGCCTCCAAATGCACCTTCGGAGTTGGCACTGGAAAATTTCTGGGTTTTCTGGTTACAAACCGAGGGATTGAAGCCGACCCATCCCAGATCAAAGCGATACAAGAGCTGGAGCGCCCGAATTCTACAAAGGACGTGCAACATCTTGCCGGAATGGCAGCTGCGCTGAACAGATTCATCAGCCGGTCTTCGGATCGTTGCAGGCCCTTCTTCAAAACTCTGAAGTCCAAGTTCTTCTGGGATAAGGAGTGCGACCGTGCACTGGCGGACTTAAAAGCGTATCTCTCCTCAGCCCTAATTTTGGTCACGCCTCAGCCGGGCGAAGAGCTATACCTCTACTTGGCTGTTTCTTAACACGCGGTGAGCACGGTATTGATTCGTGCTGAAGGCATCCAGCACCTACCAATCTTTTATGTAAGCAAGACCCTGCTCCCGGCCGAAACAAGATATCTTCCCTTGGAGAAATTGGCGCTGGCCCTAATGATGGCATCGAGAAAGCTGGCACACTATTTTTATGCGCACACAATAGTTGTGCTGACCGAATTCCCTCTCAAGGTGCTCTTTGAGAAGGCCGACTTCACCGGGAGGATTTTGAAGTGGGCCGTGGAATTGGGGCAGTACGACATCAGGTTTCGCCCGCGCACCGCGGTCAAAGCTCAAGCTCTTGCAGATTTTGTGGCGAAATTCACCCCTGGGACGCATCCCGTTTGCCCGATTGATTTGGTTGGTGCGGATTTAGCACAACCCAAGGTTTTGGCAACGGAGACAAGCGTTGGCTCACACGTGGGAAAAGGGCAAAGTTTGACCGAACTAGCAAAGTCCGACAACTCGTTGGAAGATGAACCCAGTGGAGACGAGAAAAAAGACCAGAGCGAGCGAGCCAGAGACATTGAATTGAGAAGCTCCCAAAACCCATCTGATTGTTGGAAGCTGTTCATTGGCGAGATGTGGAAGCTCTTCGTCGATGGAGCGTCCAACAGGCATGGGGCCGGGCTGGGCATTGTGCTGACCTCCCCAGATGGGCTGATTATTGAGCAAGCAATGTCGATCATCTCGGCCCAATGCTCTGCTGGGCCCTCAACTTGTTCGGTCTATACTTCGGCCCAACACCGGAGCATAAATCACCCTCTCAACCGCCCTTATGGTCTTCAGCGACTCCAAGCTGGTGGTCAATCAGGTATCTGGGGAGTATGAGGCAAGGGATGGAAGAATGTCCAAGTATCAAGCGTTGGTACGGGAAGAAATCAAGAAGTTCCTCGCGATAAGAGTGGAACAAATCAACCGCGAAGAAAACAACTCGGCTGACGAATTGGCTGGGCTCGCCTCCACTCAGACAGCTTTTCCTAACCCCTTGATGATAGAGTTTTTACCTCGGCCAAGCATTGAGGAACCGGAAGCAACCGAGGTGCTCTGCACCGACTTGGGTCCTTCTTGGATGGATCCCATCGTCGCCTTCTTAAAAGATAGAGTTCTACCGGAAGATAAAAAGGCAGCCACAAAATCCGAGCAAAGTCAGGGCGGTTCTGGCTCTCCCCATCTGGAGCCTTGTATAAGAAGTCCTTCACCGGGCCGTATTTGAAGTGTGTCCACCACGCCCAAGTGGAGACTTTTCTCTACGAAATACATGAGGGCATCTACGGAAGCCATACTGGGGGTAGGTCCTTGGCATACCGAGCAATTTCCCAAGGTTACTGGTGGTCGTGCATGCAGGTCCTTGGCATACCAAGCAAATATTCCGGCGTGCCCGTATTCCTTTCTTCCGAGTTCCGTCGTACCGAGCAATTTCCCAAGGTTACTGGTGGTCGTGCATGCAGGCGGACGCACAGAAATATGTTCGCAGGTGTGAGAAGTGTCAGAAGTTCGCTCACCAGATCCATCAGCCGGCTAGAGATTTGCTCCCTCTCATAAGTCTTTGGTCGTTCGCGTTTTGGGGATTGGATATTGTTGGACCACTTCCAGCAGCGCCGAGCAATCGCAAGTTCTTCATCGCTGCCACCGACTACTTCACCAAGTGGGTGGAGGTCGAGCCACTGGCGACCATAAAGGAAAAGGATGTGAAGAAGTTTGTTTGGCAAAACGTCATCACTCGCTTCGGTATACCCAGGGCCCTCGTCTCAGATAACGGCACTCAATTTGATGGGAAGCTCTTTCGCGGATTTTGCGAGGAGTTGAAGATCGAGTTCTACAATTCGACACCGGCCTATCTTCAGTCTAACGGTCAAGCAGAGGCCTCAAACAAGACCATCTTGGATGGGCTAAAGAAGCGGCTTGAAAAAGCCAAGGGGAAATAGGCTAAGGAGCTTCCCAGCGTGCTCTGGGCATACCGCACTACCCCAAGAAGGTCGACCGGGGAAACACCATTCGCTTTGGCCTACGGCATGGAGGCTGTCATCTCGTTGGAAATCGGCATGCCAACCATCCGCTCTGAAAGTTTCCAGCCTGATCTGAATAATGAAGCCGTGGCATCGGAATTAGACCTTGCCGAGGGAAGAAGGGAGCGGGCACTAGTCCATATCGCGGCTTATCAACAAGAACTCTCCAAGAAATACAACAAGGCGGTGCACCTCAGGCTATTCAAGGTTGGAGACTGGGTTTTGAGAAAGGTACTAGGCAACACGGTGGTCCCAGGCGAAGGAAAGCTTGGTGCGAATTGGGAAGGACCATACAAGGTGATTGGTCTAGCTGGCAAAGGGGCATACCATCTGGAAGATTTGGATGGCAAGGCTGTCCCCAGACCATGGAATGCAGCCAACCTTAAGGTTTTTTACTTTTGAATTGTAATTTGCTTATGTTGTTTAAGCTTTCCCAGACCCTTAGCTTCTTGGTACTAGATGTAAAAGATAGCAATGCTTTTGTAATAAAAATAGCACTCTTGTTTGGTATTACCTCTTTGTACAATGGACTCGCAAGGACGCAAGGCAATCATGAACACCAGGGGCAGGAGACCGGCCCGAATGGGACCGGGCTGATTTCCTCTCACCGGAATGAACGCGAGCCACACAAATAGATTGCATTGTCAAACGATGTAATTGACGTAAGGACCCGTTCGCATTAGGGCCGAGATGGTTTAGCTCGCCCGGTTGGAATGTTGGCGTTATGACCAACTCAACTGAAGCATTGGTGTTTTGCCCAGTGTAAGGGCCGAGCTGATTTTGTTCGGCCCAGAGGATATAATGGCGCCTTGCCCAATATGGAAAATGAGCGGAGTTTGCTTGGCAGAATTCGGAATGTTGGAATTTTGTCCAATCGATAAGAAGCCGAGCTGAATTTGCTCGGCCTAAAAGAAATGTTGGCGGCTTGCCCAACTTAAGAGACGAACTGATTTTGCTCGGCCAGGTCGAAATTGCATGAAATTTACAAACTAATTAAGGCCGAGCAGATTTCGCTCGGAATAATTAAAGCGTCAGTTCATTTTCAAGTTCATTGAACCGAACTACTAGTTCTGATTAGAGAACGTTTGAAGCAACTTTAGCTCGGCACAATGTACGATGCGGCCGACCTGGCAGTTGTGAATTGTAAAAAATTAAATCAAGGAATCCATGAAGATGCAAACCGAAAAGAAATAGAAGATGAGTGAGCAATAAGTAAAAGGTCTTCATTGATAATGGAAATTTAAGTACAAAACGGGGGGAACATAGCCCGGTTACAACAACAACAACAACAACAAAAAAAAAAAAAAAAAAACAAAGGAAACAGAGGGGTCAATCCAAATCTGCGTCAACAGTTTGCTCGGAGACTTGCCCTGTTTGCTCGGCCTCATCCACGTTTTGCTCGGACAGGATTTCCTCGGCGTCATCGTCAGTTCCTTCTACCACGGCAACATCCCGATCAGCCTCTTCCTCTGCACCTGGAGATGCTTCGGAAGGATTTTGTTCGGCTTGTTTCGCGGCGGCAGCTTCTTCCTCGGCCTCTTTCCTTGCATCCGTGATGAACCGGCTCTGGGTGGCCTTGGAGTAGGCTTGTATGTAAACCGGGATATAGGCAGCAGGCGGATTGATGAACATGTCAGAATCCTGACCAAGTCCAACTTTCTCCACGACAGCCTTCCAGCCACATTGAAAAAAGATGTCCTTGGTCGCCTGGACCTGCCGTTCGTAGGTCTTCTCGCCCTACGCATATCCCCAGTCTTCTGCGTCATCTACGGCCTTGTCCCTCTCGGCTTTGTGCGCATCGCGTAGTTTCCTCAGCTCGGCGAGATACCGAGCCTTCGTCGACTTCACGGCATGAAGTTTATCCTCGCTAGCTCGGTCAACCTTCTGGCTCAGGATATCTCATTCGGCCTTGACTGCCTCCTGCGCTGCTTTGAGCTTGGTTATCTCCTTCTTCTGAGCCTTGTTCTCGGCTATGGCATCCCGCAGGTTCTGCCGCACTTTGATCATCCGGTCGTGGGCCAAGTAGTTCTTTTGCGCAGCCTGAAAACAAATGATAGATCGTTAGTATTCGAAAAACCGTGCAAAAACCGAGCAAACAGTTGACGTAGAAATTGGCAAACTTACCAGCACTATGGATTTCGCCGCCGAGCGGAGGACCTTGAGGTCAGAAAGCTCGTCATGTTTCTTCATGTCGGCGGGCAAGATCAACCCCTTGGTCAAATTAAAACCAAGCGAGTAGTTCTTGTCCGCATACACAGAGTCTTCAGCAGAAACTGCTCGGCCCTGGTATTTGATCTCGGGTGCCCAGATCGCGGGAGCTAGGCCCTTGGATTTGTTGGCCCGTGGTTGCTCGGTCTGGTCCCCGAGCTCGGTAGAGGCGTGATCGGTAGAGTCTTCATCCGCCAGACGCGGCCCGGTTTTCTCGTTCCTCGGCCGCTTCTTGGACCGACCAGCTGGCTGCTCGCTGGCAAGCGCCAACACTGCCCCATCTCCTTACACGGCGGGTGCGGAGGATGTCCCCCCGGTTGCCTTTACGTTCTGGGGCTCGTCTTCTTCCCCGGTGATCAAGGACTTGATGGCCCTGATTTTCGCCATTTCCTGCTCGGCGGTTAGTGGGATAAGCCTGATCGGTGGAAGGTTTGGATCCGGTTCCGGGGTTGGCGTGCGCAGAAAATTGGTAACCCGACTCCTGCGCGGTGCGGTGTAATGATAGGTCTGATCGAAGCCGAGCAATTTCGAAGCCTCCCTCTCTTCGGCGGGATGGCGCAGCAGGACTCTGATGGCCTCTTGGTTGGCCCGGTAGTAGTCTGCTGCTAGATGCTTATCTGCAAAAGAAGACAAGTGTTAGATCGGCACGAAAAATAATTGCTACATAAAGAAAATAGCGCGGTCAGCCGAGCAACTCACCGGCACTACCAAAATCCTTTCTAATATACCATCCTGGAATGGGTGCCTCGGTGTCTTCATAGCGACCGGACACCCACAGGAAGTCGTCGTCGTTTGTCTCCTTGTCCGGGTTACCCTCTATCAATTTTGCTCGGCCCTTCTTCACCTTGAGGTACCAGCAGAACCCACTCTTATTTCTACTAAGACTATATTGATGAAAAATTTCAGCCAAACCGAGATTCAGACCGAGTCTCCTGTTCAGTTCGGCGACCCCGTTTATTATTTTGTAAGTGTTATTCGAAATTTGGGTCGGGGCAAAGCCTTGTTTGCCTCAAAAACTCGCAAATCAAAGGCTGGACCGGGAAGCGGAGACCTCCCTCTACTATTGACACGATCGTAAAGGGGCACCGGTCTAAATCTCCCCAAGGGGTGTCTCCCTTTTTGGCGAGCTCTAAGATGACGCCGTCTGGGATGTTGTAATCCCTGCGAAACTCGGCCATCGCACCGGGCGAGCTGACCATATAGCGGTACTTGCCCATCTATCTCGACCTTATTGGATATTGTGTGTATCTCGACCAAAAATGTTGGTGGGTCTGCTCGGACTTTAAGCTCCACCAATTAGTGCTGGGCTGGATTGGTCAGTCCTATTCGTTCTGCATGATTAAAAAATAATTCCAAGGGTTAGCACGGCATAAATTGTGCGGCCCCTATGGGAATTGGCTCAGTGAAGGGATTATTGGTTTTTGGCCGGTTCGACCCCTACCTTGGTTATACTACTAGGTCGACTTCCTAGTTCGGTTCTAACTCTCCGAAGCTGTCTCGGTCAAAGTCGTAGCTCGGTCGGATCTACTTGACGAGATAACTCGGTTCAATACTATTACCAGTTTGATCGGAAGTTTGGCTCGACTACAACCTTTACGAGAAGTCACAAACCAGTTTTTGCTCGGCCGACGTGTCACTTATGGATCTAAACGAGCGTTTTGCTCGGTTCTGCCCAGATTCAAACTGTGCATCCCAGAAACAGGAAGAACTCGTTCGAACCTAGGAGGAACAAGGGGCATGAAAGCCCCATCCTTTCCTACTGTTCTTGTTTGCCCTAAGGTGTGCGAGATCTAAGCAAGGAAATGAAACTCTAATGGCCCCAAAAATAAACGAAAACAAACATGGAGAACACGGAAGCATAAAAAGGTAAAAAGTTGAAGAACTCAAGTGCAAGAGCTTGAAGAAAGGATAAAAGGACTTACCAGAATGACAAGCGCGAGGGTGAACGCGACCTCAACAGCTCGATGGTGGCCTTCGAAGGGATTTGAAATGGGGGATATGGCACAAACAGCAATCGCAGTGGTTCTAAAGTTGGGGAGGTTCAGGGCTTGCGTAGAAGAGAAGGCGAAAGTGAAAGGTCTAGGCCCTTCGTTGGGATACAAAAGAGGGGGGAAGGAACCCCAAACGGCTGCGCCGTTTGAATTTTGCGCGTGCAGAACAGCTGGCAGTACGGCCCAATGGCGCGAAGCCACGTGGCACTGGAAACGCGGCTGTCAGTACGGCTGTACGACCTTTGATGAGACTGCGGAGGAAAAGGCCGACCAAGCGGGACAGCTCGGCGACAGATATGCCCACAATCATGCTGGGCTTGGTAATGGCGCAACTCACTCGTTAGCTCGGTTACGATGGTAACCCCAGTCACGACTAGGTCGGATGGGGTTAAGGGGCAATTGAGATGGGAGATTTGCACCGTTAGTACGGCCGAGCTAAGACGGCACGGATCTGTTTTGCTCGATCTTAAAGACCGGCTGTCCGGTGCGAACCAAGCCTAGCCGAGCTACGACTCGCGAATATCCGGCACTGCACGCAGCCAATTGGCGAGACCGGGCTACGGATAGCTCAGGCTAAACTGAGGACAAGCGAGGCTGGGTACATCTCTGACCGGTGAGCCGAGATGGACAAAGTCCAGAGAACCTCGGATGAGGTAAACCGGACGGAGGCCGACATGCCTCACAACCGGTCAACTCCAGCCCGGTCCATGGGCTTCCCCC